TATTTGTTTCTAATACAGGCATTTTAAATCTCAAATAACCTTTTTTCCTTCTTCTAAAGTTTAGAGATAGTAATGCGCTGTTCTTTCCAAAGCAAAAAAAAACAATCATGTGTAATTCTTGAATTGTACGTGCAACGTATAGAAAATATTCAACAAACTTATTTATTTATCAAGTACGGGAATATTCCAAACCACTTTGCTTATTTTAGAAACATGTAGTTGCTAAATTGTCATAAGAGAAAAATGATTGCGTATTTCGACATACCTTATGTTTGTAACGTAATTCAAATTATGAAATTGTTTTAAAATGTTGATTAGGATACGCTCGTGATGATGTAATTTATATACTGTACTCGGCATATTTTATTTTTCTCTTGGTGTAGTTTATAAAATAGTCCCCTTCGCATATTCCTGAATTTTATCTCTATATATGTATGTAGTTGTTAACTTGGTTAACTTTAAAGTTATACTTTTGATATTCTAATCCCACCCAATTTTAATTCTCCTTTTCTAGACCTTCCATTAGCTCCAAGCTGTGTTAAGGCCTCTAATGTAACTTCCACTTCAGCACTGATTAGCTGGCTGCCTAGCAACAGCAACTTTACCCATTCGATAGCAGTCAACAATGTGGAGATTCGTGTCGTGAAGCCAGGAAGATTTAGACACACAATAACAGGTCTGGAAGAGAATAATTCCAGTTTTCAGTGACCAGAAACATTCTTTTACACAGAATATTACTCTGAAAATTATCTTACTGCTTTGTGACTCTAGGAATTTCTAGTATAGTTTTTCAAAAGTTTGTTCCTGAATATACAGGCATACATATTGGAACTTTGCAATATATGATCTCCTGATGGAGGAACATTTAAATATATTAAAGTTAATTATAAAATTGATAGTTCAATGATTTGTTAGTCTAAGAGTATTTAGACTTTGCTTATTTCTTTCATGTAGTGTGAACCCTAATTTTTTTTAAAACTTTCTATTTATTTAAGATAATTTTCCATACCTGTTTGTAAAAATTAATTAGCTTAACATTGCTTTTTCAATGAGTCACCAGGTGTCACCTTTATTTATATTTAAGTATAATTTTCCTTCTTTCTTACTCTTTTTTTTTTATATTTTATTTTGCCCCCCAGTGGCACAGCGGTATGTCTGCGGACTTACAATGCTAGAAAATGGGTTTCGATACCCGTGGTGGGCAGAGCACAGATAGCCCATTGTGTAGCTTTGTGCTTAATTCTAAATAAACAAAACAAATATTTCATTTTTATTTTAACCATTTCTAAAGCAAAATATCCCTAACACCTTTTTTAACATTGCTCTCATCACCGGCCACATTGTACCAGAAATCAGACACACTTACAACAGCACATGGAAACATATACCAAAAATTTGCTGGAAATCCAGATGACTTTTTTGACATCACTCAACTCCCTTTATATATATATATATCACTCAATCAATTACACCACCATTTCCAGTTTGTTCCGGAAGAAGAAAATCCACCTTTTGAAAGCACTCGGGATATGGGTTCTTATCATTCGGTATTTAGACAAAGTATGCTTTCTTTTTCTGGATACTGATAGTTTAGGTTTCTGTTTTCTTTGCAAATATTTAGGCACACCATTTTAGTGTTGACACAAGGTTTTGATATACAATAATGTTGGACAAACTGTTCTAGATCTAGAAATCAACGACTTGGAAGAATAACTTTTAGAAGTAGGAAATCAGTTACACTAATTTTGGTTTAATTATAAACCACAAATATCTCCCAGTGTCAGTGTGATTTATTTGTAAATTATTATCAATGAGAACAGATATTAACACAAGTTGTAAGAAATTAAAGCATGGCACAAATACGGCAAGCCTTAATATTTTACCCCTATTTTATTTGTGATAGTCTTGTTTAATTTTTATCTCTGAAAAAAAAAAAGTGCAACACTGAGAAAAGGTATTTAACCTAGATAATGAATCAAGAATTTTTTAGTACATTATTTTCTAAATAAAAATTGAATTAATTGTGAACACAATGCATTTTTCATATTCCCGTCAGTTCGTATCTACATTTAAATTTAAGGGGTTTGATCTGCCAAAGAAAAGAGAGAACTATTAAAAATGCTTTGATGCAATGTCGAGCTTGTTTGTTCTGGTGTTTGCAACATTCCTGGTTTAATTTTAATTTTATGAAACTGGTTTTAATAAGCTGCTTGATAGTTGTGACAAAGTCACCTTTTAGTTTAAATATTCTAGTTTATAATATATTAATTACAGGTTCTAAAACATTGCAATTAAGTACTCATCACTGTAGAAATAAGCTTTATGTGCACTGTTAATTGTTTTTACATAACAGAAAAATAGTTTTGTTTAGAGTTTACTTACTCAGTATATTTTGTTACAAGTTACTGCTTTTACAGTAAGGAAGGTTATTTTTTAGAACAGATACGGTGTTTTGATCACTGGCCATCAAAACTTGCGTACTTAAGATTGATTACACCAGTGATTGAAACGTCGTACCTGTTATAAAAAAGTAACCTTCCTTACTATTTACTTCTTTTGACATAGAAATAACTGAAGTTTTTTAGCAATATATATATATAAACCAATTATCCGGAAGGTAAGATATTTGTTGTTGTTTTCTCATATAGGCCTAGCACCTAATACATTATACAGAGTTTCAGTTCGTGCCAAACCGGGAAAACTGCTCTACAATGCAGAGAAAAATCCTAAAAATTTGGATATGCTGACAACCTTTGTTGACTTTCGAACACTTCCAAAAGGTACATAGAGAAACACTAACTTTTCTCAAAGATAAAAATAAGAAATGAAATATACTTGTTTCTTATGGATTGTAATCCTTGTTCGATTGTTTTATTTTTATCCAACAAGCTTGTGTAAGAGAAGTAAATGTTGATAATAGAACATAAAGAAAATGTTTCTTTAACTGATCTTTACTTGTTATGAGCCTGCATCAATATATATATAACTATTTTTTTAAATATAGATAACTTGCTGTCAGAGACATTTTGTTCAGGTGTACATTTTCCTTAGTTTTCAAAAAATAACAAGAGCAATCCGAGAGATGGCATACCCTTGCCCCAATGCTTCTTTTTGAGATTATGTGTTTATATTGGAAATTTCACCTTCGAAAACTCAGAAAATCCTTCTCAGATCCAGAACGATCAGACGTCTGGATAATTATTTGTAGTGTGATGAGGAGTCTCAATCTTAACGTGTCCGTGAAATGTGGTACAACTCCTATCACACTTTACGGAGTTGTGAACCTAAAATCACAAACATGCCCTATCTCCCCATGATAAAAGAAATGCTTCAAAGTGATCCAGAATCTGGAGCTGATTTTCGATCCAGAACAGATTTAGGGAGAACTGTCCCATAATGACTTCCCATCTTGTATAAAAGTTTTGTGTACATCGGTTTATTAGTTTTTGAGATTTGCATGCAGAAACACAGATCTGGTTGCAATACTCCGGTAGGGTAAGGATAAAAACAATTTTACTTATAAGAACAAAAACCAAGGTAGAAAAACAAGTATTTACGCTATATGTAATGCATTACAATGTCATTGTAAGCTTTTGATCGGTGTACTTCAGCCGTCATCAGGCATGGATGTTAATATATATATAATCATTGAGTAAAAGATGGAGTTTCATTTAGTTCTGGTTTCAATTGATTGATTAGTAAAGACTCGTTTATCCAAAGAGTGATTTCATTTTCTGTTTTACAGTTTTTTCAAAATTTGTTACTTTTGTCGACTGAACACGCAGATAGCGGGACGTAGTTAAAGTGGGAATTAAGATCAATTTGTTATTACTTTTAGAGAACAATTTCCTGTAGCTGCTTCTGTCCAATACAAAAATATAAACTTTGCTCAATATTCATGATTTGATTGTTCAAGTCACAAAAAAATTACTGAACATGCAGATAGCAGGACGTAGTTAAAGTGGGAATTAAGATCAATTTGTTATTACTTTTAGAGAACAATTTCCTGCAGCTGCTTCTGTCCAATACAAAAATATAAACTTTGCTCAATATTCATGATTTGATTGTTCAAGTCACAAAAAAGTTACTGATTATGTAAAAATAGATAGTTTTGAATGTAAAATGTCTTAGTATGGGCTTATGCCTGGACCAGTTTTACAGTAAATGAAATTACACAGTAGTCCTTAAGTTCAGACTAATTATAGTATTCTATAATTGACTGTAAGATATGTTTCCCACTTTTAAATTACTATTGTTGGCTCAAGGCTATCTAACTTTAGGGCCGTTATGTGCTCTCTTTATTCTCTGGTGATTCAGCGATAAGTCTTTGGGCTTATAACACTAAAAATCGGGTTTTAATACCTGCAGATAGCCATTTGTGTATCTTTGCACTTAACAACAAAGAAACCAAACTTGCCCTCTGTAGGTTATGAAGGATACTTTAAAATCATGTAAAATCAACTTTTTTTTTTTTAAAGGTCTTCCTGATCCACCAGTGGATATCCAAGTGGAAGCAGGGCCTCAGGATGGAACACTATTGGTCACTTGGCTGCCAGTCACTATCAATCCAACCGGGACATCTAATGGAGCACCTGTCACAGGCTACGCTGTTTTTGCTGCTGGGAAAAAAGTTACCGAAATTGATAGTCCAACAGGTTTGTGGCATTCGTGCGCTTCTGTCACTATGGTTATAGTTACTGAATAAAAATTTTTTGTGAAAATTACAAGTTCTTACAGAAAGTAAATACAAATTATAATATCCTGTATCTCTGTCTATTTCAGTTTGTCATTTTATGTGTGTCTGTCTGTTAAAATCATTTATGTTCTCTTTTCTTTTGTCTTTCATTTATTTGATTACTCTGTGCATGTGTGAGTGTAATTATATATATACACTGTAAGTATTGCTACTTAACTGTTTATTTATCGTTGGTTGTCCGTTATGTTTTTTTGTTAATTTTCTGTCTGAATACTCCAGCTGTATATCTGTGTATTCATTTATTTTATGTAAAGCCATACAGTGTTTTTCTTTTCTTTGTAGTCCTCCAGTGGCACAGTGGTATGTCTGCAGACTTACAATGCAAGAAATTGGATCTCAATATCCATGGCGGGCATAGTACAGATAGCCCATTGTGTAGCTTTGTGCTTAACAACCAACAAACCGGTTTTCTCTTTATATGGTAGCCTACTGTATGGTCTAAATTTTCAGACACATTTTTCTGTTGTTTTAGCTGTTACAAGTTCTTTTTTTTTTTCAATTGTAGGAGACCATGCCTTGCTAGAAGTGAAGGATCTCTTCCCCCTGGCGAATAAAAGTGTGACTGTTAGGACAAAATCTGGTGATAATTTGTCCTCAGATTCAATGCCCTGTGTCATTCCAGAAGAGCTTATTAAGACATCATCTCAGAAGGTAAGTAAAATACACTATTGTTTTGATATTAAAAGTGGTAGGTTGGCCACTTCTGTATAACTTCTTGTGAAGACTGGATTCTGTGCCCAGAACCTCTTTTGTCCACACTCAATGAATAGTGATCCAAATTTAAAAAAAGATGTAAAAAATCACTGAAGAGTAAAATATGTTTTGATTTAAGGTTTAGTTGTCTGAATTTAAAGTATAATTCAGCAGGATATTCTAGTTAGTAAAAATAATGGAGAAAAAAAAAACCCGAAAATCATCTTTAAGATATAGCAAGCTACATTATTTATTATTAATAAGACAACAACACTTGTTTTTTTTATTGTAATGTTCAGAAAGACTTTAAACTCTTACTTTCAAGTGTTAAAGCTGATATTGTAGCATTTTCATTCTAAATTGTAAAGTAGTGGTTTGGATGTCGGACTTTTTCAAGAGTAAACTTGTAAATACTTTTCTTGTGTTATCCATAAACAAAAAGGACTTTGTTCGACTCGGCTAAATACAAGTTTTGATATCACATCTCCCCTTTTCTTCTTCTTATGGTGGTGTATATAAAACATGGTTGGTAAATGTTTCATCAAGAACCAAGTGCTACGTTATGATCTAGGTTCTGACTCAGAGTTGGATGTGGAGCTAACAGAAGTGCTTAGTCATGTAGCACACAGGTCTCAAGCTTTCGATCCAGACTGTTTATCTCAGGTAGCACAGGACACACAGTTTGTACAGCATTGTTTATCTTTTATTTTATAGTTTTTTGTTTTGTTTTTTTTATGGAAAGAGCTCAGGCAGTATGTGAACTACTCCTGCATTTGTACAGTCTGAAATGCCATTTATATATGAGACACAAAGCAGGATTAGTGCCTAAAAACTTTCTTCCTTGCTGAGGAAAAAAATCAACTTCTAATAACTTCTGATGCTGTAACAAAGTTATATAGGATATACTGTAATGGAATGATTCATCTGTCGGATTCTACACCTCAAGTATTCATTTCATAGTTTGCAATTTACAAATACTTGTCTTCCGTACTAGCGCAGAAGTGCCTGGTTGTTGACTAAACATCTTGCCAGTTGTGTCTACTTATTGCTTACATTATCTCACTGGGAAGTTTGAAGAACGATAGGCCTCTTGGGCCAGATAATATTTCCCCCAAGAATTTTGAAGGAGGTTAAAGATTGGGTATGTGATTCACTTGCTACTATTTTTGTCAGTTATTGAGTAGTGTCCGGGTACCAGAGGATTGGAGGCTATCTAATGTAACTCCTATTTTCAAGGGAGGTGGTAAAAATTGTCCTAGTAAATATAGACCCATTAATGTTGTGGGAAAAGTTTTGGAAGGTGATATAAGATGCTTTGCAAAATCATTTAACAAAGTTTATAATTTTATTGGATAGTCAACATGGTATCACTAAGAGAAAATCTTGCCTTACATATCTTTTGACATTTTTTGAAAAGGTTACTGCTTATGTAGATTAAGGTAAGGGTGTATATTTGGTGTATCTGGATTTTCAGAAAGTGCCACATAAAAGGCATGTAAAAAAAAATTAGCTTTTAAGGTGTGGGGGATAATTTAGCAAATTGGATAGAAGAGTGGCTGGATGGAAGAAAGCAGAGGGTTGTTACAAATGGAGTTCAGTCAAACTGGATTAATGTTACAAGTTGAGTACCTCAAGGCTCAGTTTTAGGACCTTTGTTCTTTCTAATTTACATCAATGATATAGATGAAGGTGTGGTCAATAAATTACTTAAATTTGCAGGTGATATTAAAGTCTTGGGTGTTGTTAGCTGTGAAGAGGATACTGCTGATTTACAAAAGGATTTACATCATTTAGTGAGTTGGGCAGATAAATGGCAAATGGTTTTAACTATAATAAATGCAAGATAATGCACGAGGGTTATCATAATTTTAATTATAATTTGGATGGGAATAACCTTAACATTGTCATGAAAGAAAGGGATCTTGGTGTAATAATTGATCAGTCTCTAAAGCCATCCGAGCAGTGTGCTGTTGCTGGTGGTAGGGCA